GGTTCTCCCAGATTAGAGTCCGCACACTTAACCACTACACCAAACTGGGCACATACAGGAGTGGATTGCCATGATTAAATATGGTATTTCCTTTTGACTTTTATCATCCTTTCTCAGCATATATTAGGAACCATTTCCATGTTCTCACATTTCCTGTTCCCATTCCTTCCCTAAACTTTAGATCCGTGTAAACAAATTTCCAAGTAAATGCACATACAGGAGTGGATTGCCATGATTAAATATGGTATTTCCTTTTGACTTTTATCATCCTTTCTCAGCATATATTAGGAACCATTTCCATGTTCTCACATTTCCTGTTCCCATTCCTTCCCTAAACTTTAGATCTGTGTAAACAAATTTCCAAGTAAAAGCATCTCCTTGTCTCCTAGCTAAGCGAGCTATTGCTCACACAGCTCTTAAAATTATATCCTGACTCACTTCAACCAATCCCTAACACAGTTGATCCTCAGATTTAGTTTGTCATGGTTTCTTTCAAGAAAATCCTGGGGACTGTAGCTGTGTGGCTGAAGAGAGATTTCTTAAAGGAGTAGACAGGTCAGGAACAGAGAAATAATTCCTCCCTCTCTGGTCATTTGTCAGTATGATGAACCTGAGGATCAGGTTAGAGGATTATTATCATTGTAGGATTACCATTTCCCAGAATTCCATGTTACCCATGTAAAAGGTCCATGGATGAACATAGATGATTTCCACTGATTTCTTTCCTCCAATGACCTCTGATTCTCCTCTGCAGGGGACATTTTGAACTACAGTGGGAGGGGGGAGATGGGGAAATTGCACTCTGCAGAAGAAGCAGTTCATCTGGTGGAAATTTTAGGTGATACATGACACTAGACTGGTTTACAAAATAGGACATGATGTGTGACCAACTTATTTGGTATTTGCTGTGCAATGTTTCATTGTGTGTTAGCATCTACTTTGTGTGAAATGGAATGGTTAGACAACACTAACAGAATGTTCCTTTCTGTTTTCTAACACAGATCAATTTTGACATATTCTCGGATTGGAGGGCGAGTTACGACACTTACCTTTTGCCAGGGCTCTCACTACTTGGCTATAGCTTCAGATAATGGAGCAATTCAGCTTCTTGGGATTGAAGCTTCGAAGCTACCAAAATCTCCTAAAATTCTTCCAATACAAAGCAGGTGTGTGTCAGTCTTTTCACTGAATTATTGTGCTTCCACTGGCAGGTGGGGCTCTCCAGGCCCCACCTGGAGGCTGGCAACCCTACATAGTGAAGAAGAGTTTAATAGGAGTTAGTTTTTATACCCTGCTTATCTCTCTCTCTGTCCTAAGGAGTCTCAAAGTGGTTTACAATTGCCTTCCCCTCCTCTCTCCACAGCAGGCACTTTGTGAGGTAGGTGGGGCTGAGAGAACTGTGACTGGCCCAAGGTCACCCATCAGGCTTCATGTGGAGGAGGAGAGGGGAATCAAACCCAGTTCACCAGATTGGAGTCCGCCACTCTTAACCACTGCACCATACTGCCTTTGACACACAGATGAACACAGGGGTCATTTCATAGAAAAAGAGGTGCAGGAGCTCATTAGCATAACTCATTAGCATAACTCATTAGCATATGCCACACCCACTGACATCACCGGAAGTGTGTCAGAAGGCAACACCCATCGCTCAGGCGCCACTGGACTATTTTGGATTGCTAGCTATGGGGGGGGACGTGCAGATCTGTCCTCGCAGAGGAGGGAGAGCTTGTACCTGAATAAAACTTGGTCTTAAAGGTGCCACTGGACTGTTTTGGACTGGGGGGCCGGGGTGGGGCCTCTGCAACTTACCTAGTTGCTTCTTGCTCTGACTGAGGGCTGCTGGGAGCGGGGGGTGGGGCTTGTTGTATGTGCCCGCCACCTGGGCTCTTTACTGCCGGAGCTCTGCTCCTGTGCGCTCCTGCAGGAAATGACCCCTGGATGAACACACAGAGATGTTGTTCTATTCATAGAATAGAAATAGGTGCTAGAATGGACTGTACCAGTTCAGGCTGCAGGATCACAATTTTGAGTGTACCCTATGTTAAAAAAGAAATTGTACTTCCCTGTAAGTAGAAGACCAGCACATAGGGAATGGGATGGGCAAGAGCCTTCCTTCCTGATGTGTTAGATCTGCAACACACAGAGATTTATTTAACATGGGAGTCCATTGAAAAATGGCACCTCCTGTTCGCTGTCTGAAGTGACACAGCTTATCCTGAAGTAACCCTCAGGATTCTTGCACTTCATCTGCCTCCTAACATGGGCCAAGTGACTACTTGAGGAATATGGAGGGAGCGCTTACAGCCAGAGAGGGAGAACCTCCAGTTAGATTCACTAGCCAGCTTCATGTCCCCAAGAAGGCAGCACATGGGAAAGAGGCGGAACTCCCAAGCGTTCCAGCATTCTAAAGCCACACAGAATTTCACCAGCACTTAAACCAGGATGTTTGCCTCTTTCTTTGTTCCCAGGTTTCTAGATCAGAAGGACGATGGCTGTGTGGTAGACATGCATCACTTTAATTCAGGGGCCCAGTCTGTGCTGACGTACGCCACTGTAAATGGTTCCTTAGTTGGATGGGACCTCAGATCCTCCAACAACGCCTGGGTATTAAAGCATGATTTAAGGTTGGGACTTATAACCTCATTTGCTGTGGACATACACCAATGTTGGCTCTGTATTGGTAAGATACCGTTTGGAGTTTTTCATTCATAATAATGACATGCATTTAGAATTGCCATTTGCAAGACCAGGTTTACTTTCAGGAAGGCCAGCATAGCCCAGGTACTGGAGAGTTGGGCTTGGGTCTGCCTTCAAATTCCTATTTTTTTCAAAGACTCAGTGTCTTAATAGTAACTTGCTTTACAGGGCTGTTGTGAGAGCAGTCATAACATAAGCATTAAAATGCATCGTTGATTTTCTAAAAAGTGCTGTAGCAGAAGAGAGAAAGATGTCTGAATGCTGTACATACCGATTCATGTCCTGTCAGATTGCTAAAGATGCTGCATGAAAGGTTGTAAATTGGTGACAGGGATTATCTTTCATTCACAAGGCACGAGCAGTGGTACCATGGCATGCTGGGATATGAGGTTCCAGTTACCTATCTCCAGCCATTCCCACCCTTCCAGGGCACGGATCAGGCGCCTGCTGATGCATCCCCTCTCCCAGTCATGGGTAATCGCAGGTAGAGCTTGTTTTCTTTCCTTTTCTTCAGCAGTTCCAATGTTGACAAGTTGGGGCTCATTAACCATGTCTGAACTAGATGTCTGGTGTCTGCAAACCCAGGAGGTTCAGTTTGAAGAGGTGAAGCAACCACCCCTTCATGAAGCTGAAATCTTTACTGTTCTTGGCTACTAAGACTGGACCTTCTTAAGTCCATCCTGCTG